AGATAGATAGATAGATAGATAGATAGATAGATAGATAGATAGATAGACGGATGACTAGACAGACAGATATGTAGGTAGGTAGATAGATAGATAGATAGATAGATAGATAGATAGATAGATAGATAGATAGATAGAAATGGCCCAATGATTAAGAATAGCAAAAAGAGACCCAGGCCATGTTTCCAACTTACCAATTCAGGAGAAGTGATTGCATCCAGTAAGCGCTGCAATGGGAAGTTAGCAATGGGATGTGCAGCCAAGGAATGCAGCTGACCCTGAAAGTAATCCTCAAAGAGGCGCTGGAACCTCTCCGGTTCTAATACCAGTAGCACCTGCTCCAAGAGTCTGGAGCTTGTCTGATCCCGAAGAAATAGGAGTAGAGGGCTAGAGGTAAGAAGAGTGAGACTGGAGCTAGAGAGATGGCTCGGTGGTTAAAAGTACTTACAGTTCCTGCAGAGGACCTGGGTTCACAGGCCCTCTTCTGCCCTCCACTGGCTCGTGCACAAACATGGTGCACATACATATACAGACGAAAGATTCATATAAAGTAAAAACAAATATATATATATATATATATATATATATATATATATATATATATATATATATTTAAAGCTGGTTTAATCCCAGCAATCAAAAGGCAGAAGCATGTGAGTTCAAGGCCAGCCTGGTCTATATAGTGAGTTCTGGGCTAGCTGGTGCTATATAGTGAGACCCTATCACACACAGATGAAGAAAGAGACTGGGGCTCAAGAGATGGCTCAGTGGTTAAGAGCATGTATTATTCTTGCAAGGGAGCCAAGAAGTTCAATTCCTAGCACCAACAAGGCAGCTTGTAACGATCTGCAACTCCAGTTCCAAGGGTTCTGACACCCTCTTCTGGCCTCCATCAGCCCTGCATATATGTCTAGGCCCAACTTCATAAAAATAAAATATAAATAAATCTTAAAATAAACTAAGTCAGGCATGGGTAATACTTGCCTTTAATCCCAGCACCTAGGAGGCAGAGGCAGAAGGATCTCTGAGAGTTCAAGGCCAGCCAGGGTTAAAGGCCTGTGTCATCACCCAGCAATAAATATTTTTAAGAAGATCAAAGAGTCTGAACTTCATCTGGAAATACAGTTACTCTACATCATCTCATTCACCTCACATAACATCCCCGGTTTCGATTGCCTCTGAAGGCATGATCATACCTGCCACCCGCTGAAGAACTGCGAGAACTCAGGTAATCAATGACAGCATCACAGAGGTGGGCACAAAGCTGGGGCAATCTGCGGTGTAAGATCTGTAAGGCCACTTGAAGACAAAAGCTGGAGATCTTGTTGGTGATAAATACTGATAGAAAAGGCAGAAATAATTTAACAGCTTGTCACAAATAAGATTACCTATACAACCTCAAAACTCAAGCAATCAGGGGACTATATACAGAAAAGTGTCCATATAGAATGCCTTAACGCATTAAAGCAGACAGGTGTTAAAAGAGGAATGGCCCATATAAGGCTCCTGCTTGGTGCAAATCCCAAGAGAAGAGCCTAGTCCCTTTTCCAGCCTCCCTTCTGTGATAGTTACCCTTGACCGCCCAATTGATGGGACTTGAATCACTATGGAAACTAACTTCTGGGCACGTCTGTGAATTTCTAGAGTAGGTTAATCATGTGGGAAGAAACCCCCCCCCCCCGCAAAGTCGTAGCACTATCCCATGGGCTGGGGCACTAAACTGAATAGAAAGGAAAAAGCAAGCTGGGCACAACATTTATCTACCTCTGCTTCCTGAGCTGATACAGTATAGCTACTGCCATAATTTCCCTGACATCATGGACCCTCCAGCTGAGAGTCAAGCTTTTCTTAAGTCACGTGGGTCAGGTATTTGCCTCTGCAACAAATAAGGTAATTCATCTTTTTACCAGCAATGTCCTTCAGAAAGCAGGCGCTCAGGTCCTGAAGGCGATTCAAGAAGGTTTTAGGAACCTCAAAATCACTTGGTTTACAGTCCCGAGCTGAGGGCCTTTGTGTTTCTAAAGAAAGACCATGAACAACAGTGAGATCACAGATAGCCAAATAAGAAGGAGAAATCCACAGAAGAACAGGGGCTCGGCTTGGAGATGCAGACAAACGTGATACAACTGAACAGCCCTTGTGGATGAGTAAGAAATTGTTTCATTTTTCCCTAAGGATCTTCAACTTCCTTCCCTATAGTCCCGAGTTTGTCTTTCTCAGCCAGGATTTAAAATATACCAAAAATCAGACTTTACTTATACCCTCTAACCATATTCTCCACCACTCTTAAATGTACGTCACATCCTATGATAATAACATGAAACAAAGTTAGTGGTCTCAATTAGCATTTTTTTAAATTTAATTTATCTTATTAATTATACTTTATTCACTTTGTATCCCCCACAAACCCCTTCTTCCTCCCCTCCTAATCCCACCTTCTCTCCCCCCTTCCTCATGTATGCCCCTCAGCAAGTTCACTGATATGGGAGGTCCTCCTCTCCTTCCTTCTGATCTTAGCCTATCAGATCACACCAGGAATGGCTACATTGTCATCTTCTGTGGCCTGGTAAGGCTGCTCCCCCCTCAGAGGGAGGTGATCAAAAAACAGGCCAACCAGATTATGTCAGAGGCAGTCCCTCTTCCCATTACTATGTAACCCACCTGGACACTGAACTGCCATGGGCTACATCTGTGCAGGGGTTCTAGGTTATCTCCATGCCTGATACTTGGTTGGAGTATGAGTCTCTGGGAAGACCCCTGTGTTCAAATTTTCTGGTTCTGTTGCTCTCCTTGTGGAGTTCCTGTCCTCTCCAGATCTTACTATTTCCCACTTCTTACATAAGATTCCATGCACTCTGCCCAACAGTTGGCCATAAGTCTCAGCATCTGCTTTGATAGTCTGCAGGGCAGAGCCTTTCAGAGGCCCTCTGTGGCAGGTTTGTAGGTTTCCTGTTTTCTTCTTCTGATGTCCATCCTCTTTACCTTTCGGGATGGGGATTGAGCATTTTAGTCAGGGTCCTCTCTCTTGATTAGTTTCTTTAGATGTACAGGTTTTAGTAGGTTTATCCTATGTTATATGTCTATATGAGTGAGTATATACCGTGTGTGTCTTTTTGCTTCTGGGACAGCTCACTCAGGATGATCCTTTCCAGGTCCTACCATTTACCTGCAAATTTCATGATTTCCTTATTTTTCATTGCTGAGCAATACTCCATTGTGTAGATGTACCACAATTTCTGCATCCATTCTTCAGTTGAGAGGCATCTGGGCTGTTTCCAGCTTCTGGCTATTACAAATAAAGCTACTACAAACATGGTTGAGCAAATGTCCTTTTTGTGTACTTGAGCCTCTTTTGGATATATGCCTAGGAGTGGTATGGCTGGATCTTGAGGAAGCGCTATTCCTAGTTGTCTGAGAAAGCGCCAGATTGATTTCCAGAGTGGTTGTAGCATTTTTTATTTTAATTTTTTAAATTTTATTTTTTATATGCATTACCTCCTGACTGAAGTTTTCCCTATATTTGTTCCTTCCCACCTCCCCAGTTCCCTAAATCCATTCCTTCTCTGTTTCGCCTCAAAAACAAACAAACAGCTCTCCCCTGAATAGCAATTGACCATGACATAACAAATTACAATAAGAAGACTAGGCAGGTGGACACAGTGTCACACACCTGTAATCCTAGCACTCAAGGAGGCAGAGGCAAGCAGATCTCTGTGAGTTCAAGGCCAGCCTGGTCTACAATGTCAAGGCTACACAGAGAAACCCTGTCTTGAAGAAAAAATAAAATAAAATAAAAAAAGACTAGGCACAAATCCTCATATCAAGGCTGGATGAGGCAACTCAGCAGGAGTAAAGGGGCCAAAAGAGTCAGAAATATCCCAACTCCCACTGTTAGGAGTCCCAAAAAAACAAGCTACACAACCATAATATATATACAGAGGGCCCCAGACCTACACAGGATCTGTGATTGTCACCTCAGTCTCTGTGAGCCCCTATAACTTCACTGTGGGTCCTGTTCTTGTGGGGTCCTCAGTCCCCCTGGTTCCTAGAATCCTTCCTCCATGTCTTCTGCAGAGTTCCCCTAGCTTTGCCCAGTGTTTGTCTGTGGGTCTCTGCATTGTTACCATCAGTATTTAGAATTTTTTAAAAATTTAAATAGAGAATAAAATTTTAAAGGAAAGAAAATATTAGAAAAAGAGATAACAAGTGGGAAGGACATCTTTTCCTGAACTTTTACTTGGATCCATACAGAGGTCACATACAGAGGTCACATCAGGGTTAAACAAAACTTTCCTAGCCAGGTGTAAAGGCACACACATGTGACACTTCAGTATTAGAGAGGCTGACAATGGGAAGACAATGAATTTGAAACCAGCATGAACTTATGCCATAAGTTCAGACCAACATGTGCTACACAGTAAGACCCTGTCCAAAAAAACAAAGCAGCCAGGTGGTGGTGGCACCCACCTTTAATCCCAGCACCTAGAAAAAAGCAGTCAAATCTCTGATATGGGGCCAGCCTGGTCTACAAAGCAAGTTCCAGGACAGTCAGAGAAACCCTGTCTCGAAAAAACACAAAGCCAAAACAGAAACAAAAGCTTAACAACAAATAGCCAGGCACAGTAGTACAAGCTTTTAATTCTAGCACTTTGAAGGGAGAAGCAAAGCAGGAGGATCAAGAGTTGAAGGCCAGCCTGTGCTACATCACAAGTCAAAATATAGCCAGTCTGGGCTATATGGTGGACTCTGTCTCAAAATAAAACCTCAGGGCCGGTCAGGGTATATGGTAAGGATGATGGCTACTAAGCCTGACAGCCTCATGTTGGAAGGAGAGAACTGGCTTCCATAAGTTGTCCTCCTACCTCCACACAAACACTGCAGAAGGCACATAGATTTGAGTGTGCCCATAGACATTCTAATTTTCTTAAAATGAATGTCTGTGAATTGTGGAAATAAAGTGAAATTCATCACTTTAAATGAATCAACTCCTCCTCGTGTCTACACTAGCGGCTATTCCCTAACTATAAGTACATCCTATCTCTAGATGTCTAGACACACTATTCTTTGGCCTTCTAGGCTCTGCCCCAGGGTTCTGCTAATTCTTCACGGTCAAGTGCCACCATGAAGATTAACTCTTCTGTTTACCAGCTTTTGAACTTCTGAAACTCTCCTGCTCACCAGACCCATTTCCCTTTTCTACAATACTTACCAGATGACTGGGAACCGCGGGGCCTGGCTTTCTCAGACTCCAGTAGAGTACCTCCCAATACTTGCAGCAGAGTTCTGACCATAAAGCTGCCATGTGTGTCTCCACAGAAGAAAAGAAAATCATCACACACTTCAGCAGCTAGTCCCAGGACGAGCTCCTCCAGAGTCTGCAAGGGCCCATCCTTCTCCTCTTCCTCCTCCTCCTCGTCATCCTCCTCCTCTGCTTCTGCAGGACTCTTCAGTAACCGAGGCACTTGCAGCAAAGCACTTTGTAACACGTGGACCCCACACCGATGACAGGCCACGAAGCGCAAGTTGGGGCGCAGAGCAGCCCACACTCGACACAGAGGTTTCAAAGGACTGAACCCCAAAAGCTCCTGCAGCATTTCGCTACCGGTCCTGTTCGTGGCCAAGGCTAGAGCCTGAGCCTCCACTTCCTTCAAAATATTGCGCACCATCAAGGCTGAAAAAAAAAAAAACAAAAAAACGAGTAAATAAATAAACCGTTAGAGACTGAAAGGATAAGTCTTAAGCATCACTTAGCCAAGAACTCCTGGAGGAACCCTCTGAAAGTTAATTGCGTGGGTTTTACACTCCATCTAGGGCGTAGCTGCGCCTACCTCGCTCTTCAGCGGCGTCGGGAGCCACTTTCAGCTCTGACAGCGCCCGTCGGAAATACCCGAGAGCCTCCGGGCTCAGGTGCGGGAGAGCCTCCGGGGCCTTCTCCGCACACGCGCCCGCCGGCAGCCGCGGACACCCATCGCGGCCCGGAGGGGGACGCCCCGAGCCCCGGGCCGCACGTCCCCGTCGGCTTGCGCCCGGGAACTGGCGCCGCGCCTTGTGAGCGGAACGCGGGCCCAGCCCCATGCGCGCTTCAGGACCTGCTGTCCACGCTTCCCGACTGCAGCTCCCAAGGCCGCAGCAGCGTTTCTGACGCGCGGTGACGTCATGAGTATGCGACGGGGCGGAGGGCACGATGGGCGTGGCTGCAGGCCTGCTTTTCCGTATTCGCGGGTTCCATCTCCTGTGTCTGACTCCGCATCTTCCGGGTTAGCTTTGTCTCACCTGCACCGGCCTTCACCGGCATTCACGCTAACTCCAACGTGGCCAGAATCAAAGTTCCCGAACTATTTATATATAGGTCCCGCCCCTGGCCTATATATGTATATATAGGTCTGGAACGGTATAGGTCTGGCGAGCTGGGCAGAAAGAAACTCGGAAGCAGTGTGTGCGGCAGGTAAGACTCCTACGTTCTGTCCACTCACGGTTCAGGGCTTCGCGGTTCTCCGTGGAACTGGACGGGTAGCCAGAAACCCAGAGAGCCCAGGACTGTTCGTGGACATATCTTGTTGGACTACCTTGCCAGATTCCCCACCAAATTAGACCCATTCAGAGGGTCGCAGTAGGTTTGTAGCCCTGGAGAGTCTACCCAGCCTCGTGCCTCCTGAATGGACAGCCCGGCCTATACTGTTATCCTTCTATGAAATTTCTCTCCCTTCAAAATAGTCCAAGCTTAGAAGCCCCTCCTAGCCCTCACAGAGACCTTCTCCGGCACACAGTCTACAGAATTCCCTCAAAGCGACTCTTTACCTCCACAGATATTCCCTTTGATTGTGAGTCATGGTAGCGCCTATGAAGGGCCAAGTGTGTGTGGTAACTGGTGCCTCCAGGGGTATTGGCCGTGGCATTGCCTTACAGCTGTGCAAAGCAGGTGCCACAGTTTACATTACCGGCCGTCATCTGGACACCCTTAAAGCTACTGCCCAAGAGGTGAGTAACCACCTCAGCTAATCATTCTACTCCTAATCACTTGCCTGACCATGATAACCCCCAACGAATCGTTAATATTTACTGAGTACAATAAAAAAAAAATGTAGGATTGAATTTTTTTTCCTAGCAAGTGAATTTAATGGGAAGAAAAATCTGTTTTGAGAGTTTCAGATTTTGCAAAGAAAAAAAATCTGGACAACAGACTTCCTCTGATGTAGTTAAGACTTGGCTGGACTGTGTTTACTTCTTTTGTGTGTGTTTGTGATTTGGTTTGGTTTGGTTTTTGTTTTAGATTGCCTGTGTATCTTGTGTGAGGGTGTCAGATCCCCTGGAACTGTAGTTACAGACAGTTGTGAGCTGCCATGTGGGTCCTCTCTTAACCTTTGGGTCATCTCTCCAGCCCTCTGGAGGTGATCTTTGAATAAGTCTTGAATAGGAATTAGGTAAAGGATGTTATGAAAACTGTTCCCAGCTACCTAAACAAAGGGAAGTGGGGAAGAGGCCAGCGAGGGAACACTGGTTCTTAAAGGCCATCAGGAGGGGCTGGGGCACAGCTGAGTGGGAGAGCACTTGCCCAGGAAGTGCAAGGCCCTGGGTTTGATCCTGGACACTGAAAAACAAACAAAACACACAGTAACAGACAAACAAAAAACCACCCTGGCAAAGGTTTTGGGGTTTTCACACCTTTAATCCAGCACTCAGGAGCCAGAAGCAGGAGGCTCTCTGAGTTCAAGGTCTACATAGTGAGTTCCAAACCAGCCAGGGCTACACAGTGAGACCCAGTGTGGGAGAGGGGGCAGGGGTAGAAAAGGAAAGAAAGAGAGGGAAAAAAGCGAACCCGGTATGGTGTGCATGCCTGTGTAACCCACCACTGGAAAAGTTGGGCCAGGGGCACTGGGAGGTGAGGGCCAGCTTGGACTAACGTAGTAAGACCCTATCCAAAAAGCTCTCAGGCCTCAGTTGCTTAGATTGGTGATCCAGTTAGATTTTTTTTTTTTAATGCTCATGTTTTTGACAGTTAACACTGGCTAGACATTGCTGCAGTTTGAGCACAGGGGTGGAGAGCAGGACCCTGAGCTCACCTCTGGAGAATAGGTACTCTTCTTCCTCTGAGTTGGTGGGTGGGGCACAGTTTGGGAGGTAGAGTAGGAAATGTCAATAGTTTACACCTGGTAGCTTTAATTTTTCAGTTAACAAGCCAGAGCATTGGTCGAGTGAGGGAGAATAAGAATTCCAGGTGAGTGGCAGAGAGTTGGAAAGGACAAAGAGGATAGTAATTGGTTTCTAGGAGTGGTTGCCATGCCTTGTCTCTTGCCTTGGACTTGCAGAGTATTTACTAAGTAAGGTCTCGCCTGTGGTAGGTCTCAGTAAATGCTGATTTTTTTTTTAATTTCTTCACTTTACATCCTCTCCTCCCAGTCCCATCCTCCCTCCTTCTTTCCCCTGTCCTCCCTCCCCTACTCCTCAGGAAAGGGGAGCCCCCACCCCTGCACATCAAGTGGCATCGTGGCCGAGCACAATCCTCTGCTGTGGAAGGTCCTACTGTGCTGAAATTCCTAAACCAAACAGCAGAGGGAGCCATTGCATGCCATGTCCCAGCTGCTGGCTGAGTCCTTGGGATTGCCTTCTCAGTTCAACTCTTCAGTTAGGAAAATAAACACTGCTGTGAACTCATAGCTCCTGTTCCTCTCCAGGCACAGGCTCTCGGGGGCCGGTGTGTACCAGTGGTGTGTGATTCAAGCCAGGAGAGTGAAGTGAAAAGCCTGTTTGAGCAAGTAGATCGTGAACAGCAGGGCCAGCTAGATGTTCTGGTCAATAATGCCTATGCTGGTGTCCAGGTAACCTTTGAACTTGATCCACCTCTCCATTCCAGACCCACCTTCCAGTCTTTATCACCGTCTGTGGTCCCACTCTCAAGACCTTTATACCTTCCTGCCTTCCAGTTACCCAAACGGTCTCCCTCATATCTTCTAGGCAATCCTGAATACCACCAACAAGTCATTCTGGGAAGTGCCTGCCTCCATTTGGGATGATATTAACAATGTTGGACTCAGGTTCGTGCCTTACTGCCAGAGCCTAGGCTCTTCTCATTTACATAGCTCCAGAGCCAGGGCCGTTTCCTGAAAGGACTTCTTTCCCCTCTGGTTTCCCCTTCTCTTTCATCTCCCTTCTGTTGCATTTGTCTCACTTATTTCTGGAAGAGTTCCATGCCTTTGGGTTTGCACCTAAGAATCTCTTTTTTTTTCTTTAGTATGCACATGCTGGTTCGTTTGTGTATGCATGTGTAAGTATTTCTGTGCCTACCACGGTACATCCAGAAATCTGAGGACACTTTAGAAACTCAGATCTATCTACTTACCTACCTACCTACCTATCTATCTATCTTTCTGTCAGTTTGGGGGCTTGAACTCAGCTTTCCAGGCTTGTACAGGAAGCACCTTTTACCTCCTAAACCACCTTAGGCAGCCTGGGAATGTCAATTTTTTTTTAAAGATTTATTCATTATTTATACAACATCCTTCCTGCACACCAGATCTTACTAGAGATGGTTGTGAGCCACCATGTGGTTGCTGGGAATTGAACTCAGGACCTTTGGAAGAACAGTGAGTGTTCTTAACCTCTGAGCCATCTCTCCAGCCCCGGAATGTCAGTTTTTGCTTTGTCTCAGCTTGTCTTTTTTGTGTTGTTTTGTTTTTAAACAAAGTTTCTCTGTGTAGCTCTGGCTGTGCTGGAACTCTCTCTCTGTAGACCAGGCTGGCCTCAAACACAGAGATCTATCTGCCTGTGCTTCCTGAGTGCTAAGATTAAAGGTGTGCACCACAGCCCAACTCAGTCTTTTCTAACAAGACCTCAGCCTTGTTCCTGCCTCATCCTTTTGACCATCCAAGTACAAGTCCCAGAAGGGAGAATTCTCTCAGTGTTGCACACAGCCCTAGGCCATGTTTTAAAAACAGTTAGAAGCGGGGCTCAAATTGACAACAAGGATGGACTAATTAAGGTAGAATGAATATGCTCATATCAGTTCTTATTTCTTCAAGCACATGTATCATTAGACTTTGTTCTCATTCATTCTCATCCCCACTGTCCTCTCCATTCCTCGCCCTCTCCAGCCAGTTGTCTCTCTTTGCCAGTCAGTCCTGTTACATGTTTTCTGTTACCCTCACTACTTCCCGCCTGCCTTGGATCTCTTCCTCCCCTCTACCTACAAATACACATGCCCATACACACATATACGTGTGTACACATATATGCATATTGTTGTAAACGACTATTAATATTTACTATGGGTTTATCTTCTGGTAATGCTGCTGTTAATCCTCAGCAGCTGTATAATCAAATCACCACACAGAGACTGGGTTTTTAGTTAACCTAGAACACAATGCTGAGCAATATTTACTCCCTCCTAAACCTCCAAGCCCTCACTTTCCTAACATTTAGATTTCCCACATTATACTTGCTTTTTGTGAAATCTTAGGTCTGGTTCCTGCTCCAAGATCTCTCTTCCAGCTCTGTTCTAGCTCTCCTCTCGTCCCTTCTCCTCCTTCACCTGCTCTCTAGATCCTCCCCTCTTTCCTGTCCTCTGGTTCCTCCCTTTGCACAACACTGTATCTAGTTGCTTTATTTTGTCCTGTTTACACAAGAGTTGAGACAGGATGCTTATAATGAGTATCACAATGCAATATCCGGATTGAAACCAGAGAGTTGGGGGAGGGAAGAAATCAGTATTTAAATGAACAAGGTATATACATTTAAAAAAAAACATTATACCAACAGCATATATAATTGTAAACCTAGGATCCAATATGAGAGATAACGTGGTATTTGTCTTTCTGAGTCCAGCTTACCAGGTTTTTTTTGCTTAATGTTTTCCAGTGCCAGATTTGGTGGTGCACACTTTAAGTGCACCACTCAGGAGACAGAGGCAGGTAGATGTCTGTGGGTTTGGGGCCACCTGGCCTACTAGTGAGTGTCAGGACACCCAGGGCTATTTAAAAAGTCCCCCTACAAATATATTAACCACAGTAATAAAATTGTTGCCCAGTTTCCATTTTCCTGTAAATATTGTGGTTTCGTTTTTCTTTACAGCTATATAAAATTCTCTTTCGTGTATGTTCTGCATTTTCTTTATCCACTCATTA